GGTGAGGGGCCGGCAGTGAGGGTTAGGACCGGTCAGTGAGGGTGAGGGGCGGGTTGTGAGGGTGAGTAGCGGGCAGTGAGTGTGAGGGGCGGGCAGTGATGGTGAGGGTGAGGGGCGGGCACTGAGGGTAAGGCGCAGGCAGCGAGGGTGAGGGGCAGGCAGTGAGGTAAGGGTGAGGGGCGGGCAATGTGGTTCAGGGGCAGGCAGCGAGGTTGAGGGGCGTGCAGTGAGGGTGAGGGGTGAGCAGTGAGGGTGCGGGGAGGGCAGTGAGGGTGAGGGGCGGGCAGTGAGTGTGAGGGTCGGGGGTGAGGGTGAGGTGTGGGCGGTGAGGGGCGGCAGTGTGGGTGATGGTGAATGGCAGGCAGTGAGATTGAGCGGCGGGCAGTCAGGGTGAGGGGCGGCCAGTGAGGGTGAGGTTCGTGCAGTGAGGGTGAGGGGCAGGCAGCGAGGGTGAGGGGCGGGCAATCGGGGTGAGGGGCGGGCATTGAGGGTGAGGGGTGGGCAGTGAGGGTGAGACAAAGGCAGCGAGTGTGAGGGTCGTGCAGTGAGGTGAGGGTGAGGGGCAGGCAGTTTGGGTGAGGGGCAGGCAGCGAGGGTGAGGCGCGGGCGGTAAGGGTTATGGGCGTGCGTTGAGTGTGAGGTTGGGCGTTGAGGGTGGCGGGTGGTGAGGGAGGGGCGGGCGGTGAGGGTGAGAAGCGGGCAGTCGGGGTGAGGGACGGGCGGTGAGGGTGAGGGGCGGGCAGTGAGGGTGAGAGGCGGGCAGTCGGGGTGAGGGGCGTGCATTGACGGTGAGGGGCATGCAGTGAGAGTGAGGGGCCGGCAGTGAGGGTGAGGGGCGCGTTGTGAGTTTGAGGGGCTGGAAGTGAGTGTGAGCGACCGGCTGTCGGGTTGAGGGGCGGGCAGTGAGGGTGAGGGGTGGGCAGTGAGGGTGAGGGTGAGGGGCAGGCCGTGTGGATGTTGGTCGGGTAGTGAGGCTGAGGGGCTGGTAGTGAGGGTGATTTGAGGGCAGTGAGGTGAGGGTGAAGGGGTGGGCAGTCAGGGTGAGGGGCACGCATCGAGGGTGAGGGGCGGGCGGTGGGGTGAGGGGCGGGCGGTGAGGATGAGGGGCGAGTGGTGATGGTGAGGGGCGGGCAGTGAGGGTGAGGGGCGGGCAGTGAGGGGCGCCCAGTGAGGGTGAGGGGCGGACAGTGAGGGTGAGGGTTGGCCAGCGAGGGTCAATAGCGGGCAGTGGGGTTGAGGGGCGGGCAGTGAGGTGAGGGTTAGGGGCAGGCAGTTTGGGTGAGGGGCAGGCAGCGAGGGTGAGGGGCGGGCGGTAAGGGTTATGGGCGTGCGTTGAGTGTGAGGTTGGGCGTTGAGGGTGGCGGGCAGTGAGGGAGGGGAGGGCGGTGAAGGTGAGAAGCGGGCAGTCGGGGTGAGGGGCGGGCGGTGAGTGTGAGGGGCGGGCAGTGAGGGTGAGAGGCGGGCAGTCGGGGTGAGGGGCGTGCATTGAGGGTTAGGCGCATGCAGTGAGAGTGAGGGGCCGGCAGTGAGGGTGAGGGGCGGGTTGTGAGGTTGAGGGGCGGGCAGTGAGAGTGAGGGGTGTGCAGTGAGGGTGAGGGGCGGGCACTGAGTGTAAGGTGCAGGCAGTGTTGGTGAGGCGCAGACAGCGAGTGTGAGGGTCGTGCAGTGAGTTGAGGGTTAGGGGCAGGCAGTGTGGGTGAGGGGCGGGCAGTGAAGGTGAAGGGCAGGCGGTAAGTGTGCGGGGCGTGCGGTGAGGGTGAGGGGCGGGCGGTGAGGGTGAGGGGAAAGCGGTGAGGGTGAGGGGCGGGTGGTAAGGGTTATGGGCAGGCGGTGAGTGTGAGGTACGGGCGGTGATGTTGAGGGGCAGGCAGCGAGGGTGAGGGGCGGACAGTGAAGATGAAGGGCGGGCAGTGAGTGTGAGGGGCGTGCGGTGAGTGGCGGGCGGTGAGGGTGAGGGGCAGGCGGTGAGGGTGAGGGGCGGGCGGTGAAGGTGAGGGGCGGGCGGTGAGGGTGAGGGACGGGCGTTGAGGTTGAGGGGTGGGCGGTGAGGGTGAGGGGCGGGCGGTGAGGGTGAGAGGTGGGCAGTCGGGGTGAAGGGCGGGCGTTGCGGGTGAGGGGCGGGCGGTCAGAGTTATGGGCGTGCGGTGAGTGTGAAGGGCGGGCGGTGAGGGTGAGGGGCGGGCGGTGAGGGTGAGAAGCGGACAGTCGGGGTGAGGGGCGGGCATTGACGGTGATGGGTGGGCAGTGAGGGTGAGGCGCAGGCAGCGACTGTGAGGGGCGTGCAGTGAGGTGAGGGCGAAAGGCAGGCAGTGTGGGTGAAGGGCAGGCAGCGAGGATGAGGGGCGGGCAGTGAGGGTGAAGGGCGGGCCGTGAGGTTGAGGGTGGTGAGTGTGAGGGGCGGGCACTGAGGGTGAGGGCGGGCGGTGACGGTGAGGGGTGGGTGGTAAGGGTATTGGGCGGGCGGTGAGTGTGAGGGGCGGGCGGTGAGGGTGAGGGGCGGGCGCTGAGGGTGAGGGGCGGGCGGTGAGGTTGAGGGGCGGGCGGTAAGGGTTATGGGCGTGCGGTAAGGGGCGGGCGGTGAGGGTGAGGGCGGGCAGTGAGTTTCAGAGGCGGGCAGTGAGGGTGAGGGGCGGGCAGTGTGGGTGAGAGGCGGGCTGTGAAGTTTAGGGGTGGGCAGTGAGTGTGAAGGGCGGGCGGTGAGGGTGAGGGGCGGGCGGTGAGGGTGAGGTCGAGCGGTGAGGGTGAGGGGCGGTCGCTGAGGATGAGGGGCGGGCGGTGGGGGTGAGGGGCGAGCGATAAGGGTTATGGGCGTGCGGTGAGGGTGACGGGTGGGCGGTGAGGGTGAGGGGCGGGCGGTGAGGGTGAGGGGTGGGTGGTAAGGGTATTGGGCGGCGGTGAGTGTGAGGTCGGCGGTGAGGGTGAGGGGCGGGCGGTGAGGTTGAGGGGCGGGCGGTAAGGGTTATGGGCGTGAGGTGAGGGCCGGGCGGTGAGGGTGAGGGGCGGGCAGTGAGTTTGAGAGGCGGGCAGTGAGGGTGAGGGGCGGGCGGTGAGGGTGAGGGGCGGGCAGTGAATGTGAGGGGCGGTCGAGCGGCGGGCAGTGAGTGTGAGGGGTGGGTGGTGATGGTGAGAGGTGGGTGGTAATGGTGAGAGGCGGGCAGTGAAGATGAGTTGCGGGCAGTGAGTGTGATGGGCGGGCAGTGAGGGTGAGGGGCAGGTGGTGAGGGTGCGGGGTGGGCAGTTAAGTTGAGGGGCGGGCAGTGAGAGTGAGGTGCGGGCAGTGAGTGTGAGAGGCGGGCAGTGAGGCTGAGGGGCAGGCAGTGACGGTGACGGGCGGGTGGTGAGGGTGAGGGGCGAGTGTTAAAGATGATGGGCGGGTGGTGAGCGTGAGTGGCGGGCAGTGAGCCTGAGGGGCTGGCAGTGAGGGTGAGGGGCGGGCACTGAGGGCGAGGGTAGGGCAGTGAGGGTGAGGGGCGCGCAGTGAGGGTGAGGGGCGGGCAGTGAGGGTGAGGGGCGGGCAGTGCAGGTGAGGAGCGGACAGTGAAGGTGAGAGTCGGGCAGTGAGTGTGAGGGGCTGGTAGTGAGGGTGATAGGCGTGCAGTGAGGATGAGTGGCAGGCAGTGTGGGTGCGGGTGAGGGGCCATCAGTGAGGATGAGGGTGAGGGGCAGATAGTGAGGGTGAGGGCAGGCAGTGAGGGTGATGGGCACGCAGTGAGGGTAAGGGGCGGGTAGTGATCGAGAGGGGCGTGTAGTGAGGGGAGGGCAGTGAGGGTAATGGGCGGGCAGTGAGGGGCGGGCAGTGAGATAGAGAGGCGGGCAGTGAGGGTGAGGGGCGGGCACTGAGGGTGCGGGTAGGGCAGTGAGGGTGAGGGGCACGCAGTGAGTGTGAGGGGGGGCAGTGGGAGTGACTGGCGGGCAGTGAGGGTCGGGCAGTGAGGGTGAGGGTGAGGGGCAGCCAATGAAAATGAGGGGCAGGCAGCGAGTGTGAGTTGAGGGCAGTAAGGTGAGAGTGAGGGCAGGGCAGTCAGGGTGAGGGGCACGCAGCGAGGGTGAGGGGCACGCAGCGAGGGTGAGGGGCGTGCAGTGAGGCTGAGGGGCGGGAAGTGAGGGTGAGGGGCGGGCAGTGAGGTTGAGGGGCGGGCAGTGAGAATGAGGGGCAGGCAGTGTTTGTGAAGGGTGGGCAGTGAGGGTGAGGCTCGGGCAGTGAGGGTGAGGGGCGGGCAGTGAGGGTGAGGGGCTGGCAGTGAGGGTGATGGGCATGCAGTGAGGATGAGTGGCAGGCAGTGTGGGTGAGGGTGAGGGGCAGATAGTGAGGGTGAGGGGCGGGCAGTGAGGCTGAGGGCCGGGCAGTGAGGGGTCAGAGTGGTAATGACTTGCCAGGTTATACACTGAGCCCTGTGCTGCCAAGGTCACGCTTGGCCCGCTCGGGCTCTCCAAGTCTGGGCTCTGGCAGCCGGTGCCTAATACAGCACGGAATTAGATAAGCAGAATATGTCCCTCCAGGGACAGCGCGAGAGAGCGAGAGAGAGAGCGCATTCTATTCCAACAATGTGTCTCTGGGATGTCCAGGTGTGGGGGGGATGTGGGTAATTCTCAGTTGGGTTTGGAGACTCTAAAGCAACGGTGATGGGTTTCCGTGTGTGTCAGACAATAAGAATATCAGCCACTGATTTCACCCCATCCCCGGAATCTCACATATTGGACTTGCACCTGTAGAACATCACGGTGGCCGACACCTCACCAGCCGCCCTGTAAAGGTCCTCTCACCTTCCTGAAGGCAGGTGTCCGTCTGATAGCTGCGGAGGAAGCTCTGAGGCTTGGGGTGGGGGGTCACAGCTGCTGGAGGGCGTTACCTGGATCCTCCAACTGGGGGCCCCATCGCTCAGTGGGAAGGGACATGTTTCCAGGGTAAATGGGTGACAAAGGACCTCTGAAATTCCCAGCAGGAAAGGGAGGGGAGTCTGCTTACCTACAATGTTGAGTTGGTGTTTATGTCTCTACAGAACAAGGTCAAGAACTTCCTGCCCCCAACTCCACCCCAGCCGCAGAAGCAGGTATTGAGCAGCTTGACCCCTTCCCCCCACCTCGCTCCCTCCCCTCCTCCCACCTCACTCCCTCCGCCCCCACCTTGCTCCCTCCCCTTCCCCCCACCTCGTTCCCTCCCCTCCCCTCCCTCAAACTCCCTCCCTCTCCTCCCCACCACCTCGTTCCCTCCCCTCCCTCAAACTCCCTCCCCTCCCCTCCCCACCACCTCACTCCCTCCGCCCCCACCTCACTCCCTCCCCTCCTCCCACCTCGCTCCCTCCCCTCCTCCCAAACTCACTCCCTCCACTCCCCCCACCTCACTCCCTCCCCGCCACCTCACCTCGCTCCAAGCCCTCCCCCCACCTCATTCCCTCCCCTCCCCCCCCCCACCTCGCTCCCTTTCCTTCCCCCCACCTTGCTCCCTCTCCTTCCCCCTCCTCGCTCCCTCACTCCCCCCCACCTCACTCCCTCCCCCCCACCTCACTCCCTCCCCCCCCCCCACCTCGCTCCCTCCCCTCCCCCCCTAACTCACTCCCTCCCCTCCCCCCACCTCACTCCCTTCCCTCCCCCACCTTGCTCCCTCCCCTCCCCCAAACTCACTCCCTCCCTTCCCCCCCACCTCACTCCCTTACCTCCCCCCACCTCGCTCCCTCCCCTCCCCCCAAACTCACTCACTCCCTCCCCTCCCCCCCACCTCACTCCCTTCCCTCCCCCACCTCGCTCCCTCCCCTCCCCCCTAACTCACTCCCTCCCTTCACCCCCACCTCACTCCCTTACCTCCCCCCACCTCGCTCCCTCCCTTCCCCCAAACTCACTCCCTCCCCTCCACCTCACCTCGCTCCCAGCCCTCCCCCCACCTCATTTCCTCCCCTCCGACCCCACCTCACTCCCTCCCCTCCCCCCACCTCCCTCCTCCCTGACTCGCTGTCTCTCCCTGCCCCTGTCTCTTCTCTATCTCTTGTCTTTTGTTCACAGTTTCTACCATTCACCAGTCTGCAATTGTCTTTATCAGTGCCCGATGTTGGAGAGGGGGCCCCTGGCACAGAGAGGGCCCCAAGTGATGGCATCACTGCACTGGATGCCAACAGCTTGTTCCTGGAGAAGCCTCAGTCTGCAACAATGAACGTGGGTAAGGTCAGGGAGGGCCATGCACACGGAGTCAACCCCATTTATTGCTCTTCTCTGGCTCCTCTCCAGCATTTCACAATAACAGCACCATTTCAACCCCCCCATAATCCCACAATCTGATCCCCAGCCTCAGTCGTACAATCTAATCACTCAACTCCATGACGGCATTCCTTCAGCCCTTTGTCACAGTCTCGTTCCAGTCCCCGAGCCAGGAGGGGCCGCAGTGTCCCAGGCCACTCACTGCTATTGACAGTACAGCCCGGCCTGGCTCAGCAGCAGGACCTGGAAGGGCCGACCTGTCCCTGGGGGCAGGGAATCCTCCCCGTCAGCTCTTGATAACCCCACAGCCAAAGCCCTAACTAACTAACGGGGAGGGGGGTCCTGGCTGGACAAGCAGCGGTAAAGCTTGTCAGACAATGATATCAATGGCCAGGCTATGTGCCCTGAGTCCTCACTGTGAACTCCAGCAATTACCTCAATGCACACTCTGGGGTCCCCAAACCTGTGTTGGGGGAGGGGGTGATGGCTGAGGCTGTGTTGGGGGAGGGGGTGATGGCTGAGGCTGTGTTGGTGGGGGGTTGGGTGATGGCTGAGGCTGTGATGCTCTGCTGTCAGGGGAGGACATCACATTCACGGTGAGGACTCAGGGCACCAACATCCTGAAGAAGCCGACCGTGCGCTGGTTCAAGGGCAAGTGGCTGGACCTGGCCAGCAAGAGCGGCAAAAACCTACAGCTCAGAGAGACATACGACCGCAACAGCAAGGTATGCCCCGGCCCCTACCCAGGGTATGCCCCGGTCCCCGCCCCACCCAGGGTACGCCCCGCCCTGCACCCAGGGTACGCCCCGCCCCGCACCCAGGGTACGCCCCGCCCCCCACCCCACCCAGGGTACGCCCCGCCCCCACCCAGGGTACACCCCGCCCCGCCCCCCACCTAGGCTTCGCCCCGCCCCCGCTGATGCCTGCTCTCTGTTTGGCAGATCTTCACCTTCGAGATGCAGATTATTTCAGCTAAAATCAACTACACCGGCAGCTACCGCTGTCAGCTTACAAACCGGGACATGATTGACAGCTGTAACTTCCAGCTGACTGTACTGGGTGAGCAAAATTATCGCCCCCAATGGGGTAAATGTTCACTGTCTGTCCACACTCCCACATCAACAACAATTTACATTGATATGAGTCCAGGGTCCACCCCGCCCCCACCCAGAGTTTGTAGTTTCCCCGCTCAAATCCTTCACTGTCTAGCGCCTTGGGATGTCCTCCCACCATGAAGCACTATAGAAATGTAAATTTTACATAGAATTACATAGAAGAAACAGGCCATTCGGCCCAACTGGTCTATGCCGGTGTTTATGCTCCACATGAGCCTCAACTGGGCCCTTCCTCAACTAAGCCTTCAAGCATAACCTTCTAATCCTTTCTCCCTCATGTACCTCTCTAGTTTTCCCTTAAATACATAGAAACATAGAACTCGTTCTGGCCTCAGCACAGAAAGAGGCTATTCCGCCTCTTTCTGTGCCGCGTCTGTCCCGGCTCCTAAAAGAGCTTCCAACTCATTCCCACTGGCCTGCTTTCTCTCCATAGCCCTGGAATCCTGTCCTCCCCAAATACCCATCTACTTCTCTCTTAAAAGTTGTTATTGAATCGGTTTCCACTGCCATTTCAGGTAATGGATTCCAGATCGTAACTTCCTGTCTGTTTCTTTTAACAACTATCTTAAATTGGTGTCCTCGGGTTACTGACCCACATGACAGTGGAAGCAATTTTTCCTGATTCAACCTCTCAAATCCTCTCATGATTTTGAAAACTTCCATTAAATCTCCTCTTAATCTTCCCTGCTCCAGGGAGAATAATCCTAGTTTCACTAACCTCTCCTCATAACTAAGGTCTTTCATTCCTGGTACCATCTTTCTAAACCTCCTTTGCACCCTCGCCAATCTCTTAACATCTTTTCTAAAGTGCAGTGCCCAAAACTGAACGCAGTCTCCAACAGAGGCCTAACCAGAATTTTATATTCAACATAACCTCCAGACTTTTGAATTCTATGCCCCTATTTATAAAATATAGTATTTTTCAACAGCTTTATTACCTGTCCTGCCAACTTCAGAGATTTGCTTATGTGGACCCCCAGGTCTCTCTGTTCCTTCACCCCCTTTAAGATTGTACCATCAGCCTATATTGCCTCTCCCCATTCTTCCTACCAAAATGCAACACTTCACATTTCTCCACATTAAATCTCATCTGACAATGTTTCTGCCCATTTTACTAATCTGTCTAAGTCCTCTTTGAGTCTGGTGCTGTCCTCCTCACCATTAACTACCTTTCTGAGCTTAGTATCGTCTGCAAATTTGGAAATTGTGCTCTCTATATCCAGGTCCAGATCATTAATATAGATCAGAAAGACCATTGGTCCCAATACCAACCCCTGAGGGACACCACTACACACCTCCCTCCAGTCAGAAAAGCAACTGCTTACTACCACTCTCTGCTTTCTGTCTCCGAGCCACTTCTGGATCCATGTTGCCACTGTCCGTTTATACCGTGGGCTTCTATTTTGTTTATAAGTCTCTCATGTGGCACTTTGTCAAATGCCTTTTGAAAGTCTAGATAAATTATGTCTTCTGCACTACCTTCTTCCACCCTTTCAGTCACTTCATAAAAAAATTCTATTAGGTTTGTCAGACACGATCTGCCTTTAACAAATCCGTGTTGACTGTCCTTTATTAAACCATATTTTTCTAAGTGAGAATTTATATTGTCCCGGATTATAGTCTCCAGAAGTTTCCCTATTGTTGATGTTAGGCTGATTAGGACGTCCTCCCGACATGAAAGGCGCTTTATAAATGGAATCTTGTTGTTGTTGTTGTTGATTGGCTGTAGATCTCAGGTTTGTCCTTCTGCCCCTTTTTGTACAGGGGAGTAACATTTGCAACCTTCCAGTCCTCTGGCATCACTCCAGTGTGCAAAGAGGATTGAAAGATTGTGGCCAGAGCCTCCACTATTTCCACCCTTGCTTCCCGCAGTAACCTCAGATGCATCCCGTCCGGACCGGGTGACTTATCTAGAGCACCGACAGCCTTTTTAGTACCTCCTCTCTGTTGATTTTTATCATGTCCAATTTCTATTCATGCACCTGTGATATTGGGGCATTGGTTGCATCGTCTTCTTTTGTGAAGACAGTTGCAAAGTTTTTGTTTAGTGCATCAACCCTGCCCTCTACCTCAACAAGGTCTCCACTTGGGTCCCTAATTGGCCCCAACCTACATTTGAGTAATCTTTTACTCTTGATATGCTTATAAAATACCTTCGGGTTCCCTTTTATGTTTCCTGCTAATCTTTTCTCGTACAATCATTTCGCTCTTCTTATTTTCATTTTCACTTCCCCTCTGTACCTCCCATATTCTATTTGATTATCCTGAAATCCCCCATTATCGCTACTCTATTGGTTTTGCATCTCTCCGAAATCTGCTTGCAGATTTGCTCATCTATCTCCTTCCCACTATTTAGAGGTCTATAGTAAATACGTAACAGAGTAGCAGCTCCTTTTCTGCTCTGTAGCTCTCACCAAATAGATTCAGGTTTCGCACCCTCTAACACATTGTCCTTTTCCAGGACCGTGACCATGTCCCTAATGAGTATTGCCATCCACTCCTGGTTTCCCTTCCCTATTCCTCCTGAATAGGTTGTAGCCAGGAATATTCAGCTCCCATTCCTGTCCTTGCTCGAGCCAAGTCTCTGTAATTGCCACTACACATAGCCCCATGTGGCACCTTGAGCCTGAGGCTCACTAAGCTTATTGGTAACACTCCGTGCATTTACACACATGCACTCCAAAACCGGTTTAATCCGCTCTATATTTCTCCCCTGTCTCTTTCCACTTTTTGCTGGACTATTCCTTGTTTCATTTCCATTTGTCTCTCCTCATCCACTCTTGTTTCCCCTCCCTGATGCTACATTCTGATCCCCAACCCCCTCGAAATCAGTTTAACTGCTTCCCCACAGCATTTGATATTGGTCCGAGCCCTGCTCAGGTGTAACCCATCCCTCGTGTACAGGTCCCAACTGCCCCAGAAGTGATCCCAGTGGTTCAGAAACCTGAAGCCCTCCTTTCTGCACCATTTCTCCAGCCAGGCATTCATGTGTTTGATCCTCCCGGTCTGGCATTCACTTGCATAAGGCATTGGGAGTGATCTCGAGATCACCACCTCTGATGTCCTGCTCTTTAGCTTCTTCCAAAGCTTCTAATATTCTCCCTGTGAGGTCTCAGCCCTTTTATCACCTACATCATGGATCCCGACATGGACCACAACTTCCGGATTTTCCCTTTCCCCCTGTAGTATATTTTGCAGTGTTTTTGGACGTCCTCCTGACGTGAAAGTCGCTCTATATGTGCAATTTTGTTCTTGTTGTTGTTGCACACGTTCCATGACGTCCTGCATCCTGACCCCAGGGAGGCAGCACACGAGGCGTGAATCTTGTCTTTTATGGCAGAAACGCCTTTAACTGTTGTATCCCCGATAACAACAGCATTGGCATTTTTCCCCTTATCTCCCTGAACATCCATTACCTTTGACTCTTCTTGCCAGAGGCGTCCTCACCGGTATCCAATACCGAGAATCGGTTTGGACGCACTCTTAGGAGATCTCTGTACTGTCTGTTCTGTTTTGCTCTACTTCGGATGGTCACTCACTCTTTTTCTGAGTTTTCTGTGCAGCTGTGGTGCCCACCTCCTACACTCCCTGTGGCTGTGGGGTGCCCACCTCCTGAACTCCCTGTGGCTGTGGGGTGCCCACCTCCTGAACTCCCTGTGGCTGTGGGTGCCCACCTCCTGAACTCCCTGTGGCTGTGGGTGCCCACCTCCTGAACTCCCTGTGGCTGTGGGGTGCCCACCTCCTAAACTCCCTGTGGCTGTGGGGTGCCCACCTCCTGAACTCCCTATAGCTGTGGGATGCCCAACTCCTGAACTCCCTGTGGCTGTGGGTGCCCACCTCCTGAACTCTCTGTGGCTGTGGGATGCCCACCTCCTGAACTCTCTGTGGCTGTGGGATGCCCAACTCCTGAACTCCCTGTGGCTGTGGGTGCCCACCTCCTGAACTCTCTGTGGCTGTGGGATGCCCACCTCCTGAACTCTCTGTGGCTGTGGGGTGCCCATGTCCTGAACTCTCTGTGGCTGTGGGGTGACCACGTCCTGAACTCTCTGTGGCTGTGGGGTGACCACCTCCTGAACTCTCTGTGGGGTGACCACCTCCTGAACTCTCTGTGGGGTGACCACCTCCTGAACTCTCTGTGGCTGTGGGGTGACCACCTCCTGAACTCTCTGTGGCTGTGGGGTGCCCACCTCCTGAACTCTCTGTGGCTAACAAGTTCTCACCTGCACCGAATTCCCCCTCTCATCTAATGCTCAAACAGAATTCTCACTCTGTTCCTCCTCACTCTGTTGCCCCTCAACACTCCTGGGCTCTCTGCTCTTCACATATATGCTATTTGCCTCCACATTCCCATTACTCTCTGTGTGAAGAAATTTCTTCTAACTTCCATATTTGATCTATTTGTGAATATTTTATATTGATGGCCCTGGTTTTGGTTTCCCCCACAAGTGGAAACATCTTCCCTATGTTGACCCTATCCAAACATTTCATCATTTTAAAGATCTCTATCAGGTCACCCCTCACCCTCCTCTTTTCAAGAGAAGAGTCTAAGTATGTTCAGCCTTTCCTGATACGTATAACCTCTCAGTTCTGGGATCATCCTTGTGAATCTCCTTTGCACCCTCACCAGTGCCTCTACATCCCTTCTATAATGTGGGGATCAGAACTGCACACAGTATCCAAGTGTGGTCTAACCAACGTTCTACAGAAGTTTACCAGAGCTTCCCTGCTTTTCAATTCTATCCCTCTAGAACCCAATGCCTTTTTATGGCCTTATTAATCTGCGTTGTTACCTTTAGTGAATTGTGTATGTGTACCCCTGTGTCCCTTTGCTCCCCTACCCCATTTATGGTATTATTTTCCCCTCCTCATGTCTGTTCCTTGTGTTGACAGAAGTGCCGTTGGTGGAGGATGTGGATATTCTGTCCCAGTTCAGACGCAGGTGAGTGGCTGCTCCCAGAGCTCGGGGGCAAAGTCTGATGGTTTCCTGTGGTCAACCTCACTGACCTCACCAGCCACACCAACCTCACCAACATCACCGACCTCACTGACCTCACCAACCTCACCAACCTCAACAACCACAACGACCGCACCAGCCTCACCGAACTCACCAGCCTCAACAAACTCACCGACCTGAACAACCTCACCAATCTCACAGACCTCACCAACCTCACCGACCTCACCAACCTCACCAGCCTCAACAACCTCACCAGCCTCACCAACATCACCGATCTCACCAGCCTCACCGACCACACCGACCTCACCAGCCTCACCAAACTCACTGTCTTCACCGACCTCACCAGCTTCACCAACCTCACCAACCTCAACAACGACACCGACCTCACCAGCCTCACAGACCTCACCAGCCTCACCGACCTCACCAGCCTCACCAACCTCACCGACCTCACCAGCCTCACCAACCACAACGACCGCACCAGCCTCACCAACCTCACCGACCTCACCAGCCTCAACAAACTCACCGACCTCAACAACCTCACCAATCTCACAGACCTCACCAGCCTCACCAGCCTCACCGACCTCACCAGCCTCACCAACCTCACCGACCTCACCAGCCTCACCGACCTCACCAGCCTCAACAACCTCACCAGCCTTACCAACATCACCAACCTCACCAACCTCACCAACTTCACTGACTTCACCGACCTCACCAACCTCACTGACTTCACCGACCTCACCAGCTTCATCAACCTCACCAGCCTCACCAACCTTACCAATGACACCGACCTCACCAACCTCACCAACCACACCGACATCACTAGCCTCACCTACCTCACCAACCACACCGAACGCACCAGCCTCACCGAACTCACCAGCCTCACCAACCTCACCAGCCAGACCGACCTCACCAGCCTCACCAACATCACCGATCTCACCAGCCTCAACAACCACACCGACCTCACCAGCCTCACCAACCTGACCAACCACACTGACCTCACCGACCTCACCAGCCTCACCAAACTCACCGACCTCACCAACCTCAACAACCACAACGACTGCACCAGCCTCACCGACCTCACCAGCCTCAACAAACTCACCGACCTGAACAACCTCACCAATCTCACAGACCTCACCGACCTCACCAGCCTCACCAGCCTCAACAACCTCACCAGCCTCACCAACATCACCGATCTCACCAGCCTCACCGACCACACCGACCTCACCAGCCTCACCAAACTCACTGACTTCACCGACCTCACCAGCTTCACCAGCCTCACCAACCTCACCAACCTCAACAACGACACCGACCTCACCAGCCTCACCGACCTCATCAGCCTCACCAGCCTCACCAACCTCACCAACCACACTGACCTCACCAGCCTCACCAACCTCACTGACCTCACCAGCCTCACCAACCTCACCGACCTCACCAACCTCACCAACCACAACGACCGCACCAGCCTCACCAACCTCACCGACCTCACCAGCCTCAACAAACTCACCGACCTCAACAACCTCACCAATCTCACAGACCTCACCAACCTCACCAACCTCACCGACCTCACCAGCCTCACCAACCTCACCGACCTCACCAGCCTCAACAACCTCACCAGCCTCACCAGTCTTACCAACATCACCAATCTCACCAACCTCACCGACCTCACCAGCCTCACCGACCTCACCGACCTCACCAGCCTCACCGACCTCACCAACCTCACCAACCACACCGACATCACTAGCTTCACCTACCTCACCAACCTCACCGACCGCACCAGCCTCACCGAACTCACCAGCCTCACCAACCTCATTGACCTCACCAGCCTCAACAAACTCACTGACCTCAACAACCTCACGAACCTCACCAGCCTCACCAACCTCACCGACCTCACCAGCCTCACCAACCTCACCGACCTCACCAGCCTCACCAACCTCACCGACTTCACCGACCTCACCAGCCTCACCAACCTCACCGACTTCACCGACCTCACCAGCTTCACCAACCTCACCAGCCTCACCAACCTCACCAACGATACCGACCTCACCAGCCTCACAAACTTCACCGACCTCACCAGCCTCACCAACCTCACTGACCTCACCGACCTCACCAACCTCACTGACTTCACCGACCTCACCAGCTTCATCAACCTCACCAGCCTCACCAACCTCACCAATGACACCGACCTCACCAGCCTCACCGACCTCACCAACCTCACCAACCACACCAACATCACTAGCCTCACCTACCTCACCAACCTCACCGACCGCACCAGCCTCACCGAACTCACCAGCCTCACCAACCTCATTGACCTCACCAGCCTCAACAAACTCACCGACCTCAACAACCTCACGAACCTCACCAACCTCACCGACCTCACCAGCCTCACGAACGTCACCGACCTCACCAGCCTCACCAACCTCACTGACCTCACCAACCTCACCAGCCTCACCAACGTCACTGACCTAACTCGCCTCACCAACCTCACTGACCTAACCAACCTCACCAACCACCAGCCTCACTGACCTCACCGACCTCACCAGCCTCACCAACCTCACCGACCTTACCAGCCTCAACAACCACACCGACCTCCCTGACCTCACCAGCCTCACCAACCTCATCAGCCTCACCAACCTCACCAACGTCACTGACCTAACTAGCCTCACCAGCCTCAACAACATCACCGATCTCACCAGCCTCACCAACCTCACCGACCTCACCAGCCTCACAGACCTCACCGACTTCACCAACCTCACCAACCACACCGACATCACTAGCCCACCAACCTCACCGATCTCACCAATCTCACCAACCTCACCGACCTCCAGCCTCACCAACCTCACCAGCCTCAACAGCCTCACCAGCCTCACCGACATCACCAGCCTCACCAACATCACCGACCTCACCAGCCTCACCGACCTCCAGCCTCACCGACTTCACTGACCTCACCAGCTTCACCAACCAACCTCACCAACCTCACCACCGATACTGACCTCACCAGCCTCACCAACCTCACCGACATCACCAGCCTCACCAACATCACCGACCTCACCAGCCTCACCGACCTCCAGCCTCACCGACTTCACTGACCTCACCAGCTTCACCAACCAACCTCACCAACCTCACCACCGATACTGACCTCACCAGCCTCACCAACCTCACCGACCTCACCAGCCTCACCAACCTCACTGACCTCACCAGCCTCACCAATGTCACTGACCTAACTAGCCTCACCAACCTCACCGACCTAACCAACCTCACCAACCACCAGCCTCACTGACCTCACCGACCAAACCAACCTCACCGACCTTACCAGCCTCAACAACCACACCGACCTCACTGATCTCACCAGCCTCACCTTTCACATACACTCTCACGCTCTCACACTCTCACACACAATCTCACACTCTCTCAAACACTCTCTCACACTCACTCACACTCTCACACTTTCTCTCACACTCTGACACACTCTCACAATCACACACTCTCACACTGTCTCACACTCTCACACTCACTCTCACACTCTCACACATTCTCACACTCACACTCACTCACACTCACACACTCTCACACTGTCTCACACTCTCTCACACTCACACTCTCACACTGTCTCACACTCTCATACTCACACACTCTCACACTGTCTCACACTCTCTCTCACATTCTCACTCACTCTCACACTGTCTCACACATTCTCTCACACTCTGTCACACTCACTCTCACACTCTCACACTCACACTCACACACACTCTCACACTCTCTCTCACACTCTCACACACACTGTCACACTCTTTCACACTTTCACACTCACACTTACACACTCTCACAATCTCTCACACACACACACACACTCTCACACACATTCTCACACTCTGACACACTCTCACTCTCTCTCACACTCTCACACACACACTCTCTCACACTCACACACTCTCACACTGTCTCACACTCTTTCATACACTCTCATGCTCTCACACTTTCACACACTCACACTCTCTCACACTCTCTCACACTCTCTTACACACTCACTTACACACTCTCACACACAATCTCACACTCACTCTCACACATATTCTCACACTCACACATTCTCACTCTGACACACACTCTCATATTCTCACACACTCTCTCACACTCACACACACTCTCTCATACTCTCTCACACTCACACACATGCTCACACTGTCTCACACTCTCTCACACTCACTCACTCACAAAGTCTCACACACTCTCACATTCTCACACTCTCACACTCTCACACTCACACTCTCACACTCACACTCTCACACTCTCTCACACTCTCACACTCTCATGCACTCACACTCTGTCACACTCTCACACACTCACACACTCTCACACTCACACGCGCACACTCACACACACTCTGACACATTCACACACTCTCACACACACTCACTCAAACAGTTTTACACTCTCTCACACGCTCACACTCTCACACTTTCTCACACACTCACACACTCACACACTGTCACATTCTCTCACACTCTCACACACTCTCACACATTCATACTCTCTCTCACACTCACACACACTCTCACTCACTCTCACACTCTCACAATCTCTCATATACTCTCACACTCTGACACACTCACATCTCTCACACACTCTCACACACCCTCTCACACACACTCACACTCTTTCTCACTCGTACACTCACACACTATCTCTCTCACACACATTCTCACACTCACACATTCTCACACACATTCTCACACTCTGACAAACACTCATACTCTCACACACTCTCACACTCTCACACTGTCTCACACTCTCTTTCACACTATCTCACACACGCACACATGCTCACACTGTCTCACACTCTCATACTCACCCACTCTCACACTGTCTCACACTCTCTCTCACATTCTCACTCACTCTCACACTGTCTCACACACTCTCTCACATACTCTCACACTCTCACACTCACTCTCACACTCTCACAATCTCTCACATACTCTCTCACTCTTTCACATACTCTCTCACTCTCTCTCACACTCTCACACACTCTCACATTCACACACACTCACACACTCTCTGTCACAATCTCACACTCTCACAAACTCACACTTTCTCACACACTCTCACACACTCATACTCTGTCTCACACTCACACACTCACACTCACTCTCACAATCTCTCACATACTCTCACACTTTCACATACTCTCTCACTCTCTCACACTCTCTCACACACGCTCACACTGTCTCACACTCTCTCTCACACTCACACACTCATACTCTCTCATACTCTCACACTCTCATACACATTCTCACACTCACTTTCACATTCTCATAATCTATCACATACTCTCACTCTTTCACATATTCTGTCACTCTCACACACTCTCACACACTCTCTCACACATACTCACACGCTCACACACACTCTCTCACACACACAGACTCTCACACTCTCTCACTCAATCACACACACACTCTCTTTCTCACTTTCACACATTCTCTCTCACACTCTCACTCTCACACACACTCTCACACATTCTCACACTCTGACACACTCACTCTCTCAACACTCTCACACACACACACACTCACACACACACACTCACACTCACACACTCACATTCTCACACTGTCTCACTCTCTTACACTCTCACACACACTCACACACGATCACACTCTCACACTCTTTCACACTCTCTCACATTCTCACACTCTCACACTTACACACTCACACACAATCTCACACTCACACACACTAACACTTTCTCACACACTCTCACACTCTCACACTCTCACACATTCTCTCACTCTCTCACACTCTCACACTCACTCTCACACTCACAATCTCTCACATACTCTCACTCTTTCACATACTCTATCACTCTCACACACTCTCACACTCACACACATTCTGACACGCTCACACTCTCACATCCACTCACACACACACACTCACTCTCACACTCTCTCACACTCTCACAATCTCTCACATACTCTCTCTCACTCATTCACATACTCTATCACTCTCTCTCACACTCAGACACTCACACTCTCACACTCTCTCTGTCATACTCTCTCTCACACTCACACACACTCTCACACTCTCACACTCTCTCACATTCTCACACTCACTCTCACAATCTCACATACTCTCACTCTTTCACATGTCACTTTCACACTCACACACTCTCACACATACTCACACTCTCACACTCTCTCTCACACTCACACTCTCACACACTCTCTACCTCACACACTTTCACTCTCTCTTACACTCTTTCACACACTCTCACACACATTCTCACACCCTCACACTCACACTCTCAAACACACACACACACACTCTCACACTCTCACACTGTTTCACACACTATCTCACACACTCACACACTCTCATATTCTCACACTCTCTCTCACACTCACACACTGTCTCACACTCTCACGCATTCACTCACACAATCTCTCACACTCTCTCCCTCACACTCACACACACTCTCTCACACACTCACACACACTCACACACTCTGACTCTCATATTCACACACACTCTGACATGCTCCCACACTTTCACAAACACTCACTCTCTCACACACTCTCACACTCACACAAATTTTCACACAGTGACACACTTTCTCACACGCTCACTCTCTCACACTCTCACGCTGACTCTCACACTCA